TGGGAATTGTAGTCCATGGGTCATGCTGGCTGGGGAGGATGGGAGTAGGAGTCGAACAACATTTGGAAGGCCGCAAGACAGCCACCCTTGGTGTGTATAGGAAAAGGCAACATTCCCAAACCTGGGACTAAAACTCCCATCAGCCCCAGCCAGCACCACTTTACACAGTCTCTGGAGTAAGCACCATTTAACCCAGTGAGCTTAGTTCAAAACAAACATGCATGAGATTCAATTCAAAATACTGAATAGCTACCTTCCCTGAAGTGGAGTTTTTGGGGGTCACGCAAAGAGAAACCTGTAAAGGAACAAAGTTTGCTCAGCCTGCAAACAGCTACGCAAACAAACTCTACTGTGGAGGTTCCCACATTTTCTATCTTCAGGCCTACTTAAGGTGGCTGGAAGTTACTGAGGCCCACTAGTCAGAAAATGGTGGTGTGGACCTAGTTTCAAAATGGTGGCAGCTGCAGAGCTTGGCTTAATTAGCTGACTAACATCGCTGTCTATTGATCTTTCCATCTTTGGAAATAGCTAGATTCTTTCCCATAGTGCTTTCCCTATGGAAACAAATTCCCTACCTCATTTTTCCACAAGTACCAACATTTGTTCTGGAGGTAATGTGATTAAGCCTTTTTTCTTCCCATCACCACATGTCTCTCAGTAGGTTTACTAATTTCCTATCATTTCTTCTCCCATTTGTCTTTCACACTCTACTAGTACCTTATCCTCCCCACCCCACTCCAAAAAACCACTGCCAGTTTCTTTCATTCTTCTTTTCTGGTGCTTTTACATTTCCTTCCTCCTCTTACAACACCTTTCCTCTCTTATGCCTTTCCTTTGTATGCCAGTTTAATGTAACCTTTTATCTCTTTTTCCAGTTTCCTTCAACACCTCCTCTGGCCCTTTCGCTTCAGAGAAGAGCAACCTCCTTTGTCTCTTCCTACACTGAGCTCTGCCTCTCAGCCACTTCTACTCATAATACAATAAGTTCCTGGGTCTGGCATTGTTACAACCAAAATAAAAATATAATAAAGACACTTACTGATGCTGGCCGCTACTTTGATAGCCCTCTTGCTCTAAGAATAAGGGAACCGTCACACATCAGTGCAAACTCAGAAAAGTCTAACAGCCACAGAGCGCAAATGCAAGCACCTAATTGGCCCAGCTGCAACTATACACACCTGATTGGCAGGGTAGCTCTTTCCACAACTGCAACCCATAAGTTTACATTACTTAATGGGCCCTGATTAGGAAACAGAAGGATGTAAATGGATAAACGAAAAAGGTCCAGAAAACCCCCCAGCCCTATTTAATTTTTCTTACCTATTTGTGAGCTATTTTGTTTTTTACAAAAAAAAAAAAATCCCTTTGGAGATGGGGGTGGGAACTGTTCTCCATAGTTATTTTTTTCTGATTGGCTGTGATCTGCACACAGCAGACTGGCCACCACAGGAGAAAGATAGACAGAGAGAAACAACTCCAGGAAGTCTCTCAGACTTCTCAGTGAGTGGACATTTAAGGATATGCATGTGGAGCACAGGAGGGAGGTGGAACTATGGTTTTGGGGGAACAAGCACAAGAGCGGTTGTTCCTCTGTGGCATTACTGATTGGTTGGCTGTTGGTTATCTGCAACTTTGCAGGGAACAGCAATGAGGTACCGGAGGACAGAAACGTGGGCATCATGCAGCCCACCATGGCCCTTATGTCAGCTTGCTACTAACAGGTGTAGTGGAGGACACTGTCCCATTGACAGGTGTTGAAGTAAGAGTCCACTGCCAATCCAGTTAGGTTCTTCACCTGCTTGGGACAGCTGCTGCCAATTGGGGCAAATAATGCTGAACTAGATGGACTACAGGTTCAACTCCATAAGATGCATTACATTAAGCACTAATTAGAGAAAAGGGAATTATGGTTTCCTTGTACTGTTTATCTCTTAGAGCAGGGGTCAGCAAACCTTTTCAGCAGGGGGCCGGTCCACTGTCCCTCAGACCTTGTGGGGGGCCAGACCATATTTTGAAAATATATATATGAATTCCTATGCCCCACAAATAACCCAGAGAAGCATTTTAAATAAAAGGACACATAGTACTCTTGTAAAAACACCAGGTAGGCCCCACAAATAACCCAGAGATGCATTTTAAATAAAAGGACACATTCTACTCATGTAAAGACAAGCTGATTCCCAGACCATCTGCGGGCTGGATTTAGAAGGCAATTGGACCAGATCCGGCTCCCGGGCCTTAGTTTGCCTACTCATGTCTTAGAGCACCATTCTATACCTACTTACTTGGGAGTAATCACCGTTAACTAGTGCCATTTATTTCCAAGTGAACATGCACCAGGTGTTAGGCATCTAGTTTTCAACAGAATGTTTATTTCTCCTCCTCAATATTTATTTTTTTCATTAACATTTAATTAGCTCCTGTTTAATCAGGCTAGCATCCTTCATGTCCCACAAGCAAAGCAGCAATAATGCTTTACATGTGTTTTAAAAGATGCATTTGAACTGTATCCCAATTTCTTTTGAAAGATATATTCTCCTTTTAAAGCATTCTTTGTTTAAACAGGCCCTTGTTTCAAAATTCAAGGCTGAGGTGTTCCTTGTTACTGGAGGAGTTACTGGAGATGGGTTCAGGTCAGTGAAGAGTTTAAAAAAATAAAATGTAAGCTCATCCAGAAGTAATCTCCAAATGCTCCTGGTAATGTAAGATGCTAAAAACAAGAACAAAACCCTGTTCTCATTGAAAATATTATGTAGGCAGCATCCACTGCACTGTGCTACATGGTGGCCCCGAGACAGGCTAGGACAGGGTGGAAGCTTTCTGGTTTTTGAATTGCCAAAGGTGGCCTCAGCTCAGTAACAAAATACAATGCAAGCTCATCTAGTTTCCAAATGCTTCCAGTAAGGGGTGCAAAAAGTATAAAACAAAAACAAAAACAAAAAAACCTGTTCTAACTGAAAATATTCTGTAGGCAGCTTCTATCACACCATGGTGCATCCTGGGCCCCAAGACAGGCTAGGACACAGTGGAAGTTTTCTTGTTTCTGAATTGCTGGAGGTGGACACAGTTCAGTGAAGAGTTTAACAAAACACAATGTAAGTTCATCTAGTTGTCTTGCCATTTCCAACTGCTTCCAGTAAAGGAAGATGCAAGAACTTCCTGTTCTAACTGAACATATTCCTGCTTCCATCAGGAGGACCAGGCTAGGAAAGCCAGCTGATTCTACAGGTCACAAACCAGTGGTTAAAGCTAAGGGAAGTGAACTGTCCAGGTGAATTGACTGAAGGGTCCAGCTTTTAACAGCTAGGCCCCTCAGAAATGGTCTTATACCAGATCAGGCCATTTCCCCATCTGTCTATTTAACTGGCAGCAACTACAGTGGTGCCTCGCAAGACGAAATTAATTCGTTCCGTGAGTTTTGTCGTCTTGCGATTTTTTTCGTCTTGCGAAGCACGGTGTCGGGAAAGTTTTGGGAAAGCTTCAAAAATCACCAAAGTCTTTAAAAACCTCAAAAAGGCTACCACACCGCGTTCTATGAGTTGCTCCTCGAAGTCAAGTCGCAACTGTATTAACGGTGTTAAGAAAAGGAAACAAACTTGCAAGACGTTTCCGTCTTGCGAAGCAAGCCCATAGGGAAAATCGTCTTGCGAAGCAGCTCAAAAAACAAAAAACCCTTTCGTCTAGCGAGTTTTTTGTCTTGCGAGGCATTCGTCTTGCGAGGTACCACTGTATCTCAAATGTGTCAAGCAAGCAGAAGTCCTGCCCATTGACTCTACCTGACGCTTTAAGCTGAAGAGGGAAGGTGCTGAAACCTGGGACTCTGTATGCAAAGCATAAACTCTGCCATTCAGCTATGGCCCCTGCCCTCACTTTGCTGGTTCAGCTGGTGTACCTGCAATAGAATAACATTCACAGAAATGAATCCTGGATGGATTTTTAAACTCTGCATAACAGTAAACAGAATAAGGGCTAGTTAGAGAGGACTGGGGTGGGATACAATTGCTTGCAAACCTGTTGCCCACCACTGTTCTATAGCTTCAACCTGCTGCCATACATGTAGGTAAAGTACCGAATGTGCCCGCACCTCTGGAAGATGACAAGATGCACACACAGTTAGCAAGGCAGTATGTGACTCTGGGGAGAATGAAGGTTGTAGAAGGCAAGAATGGGAACAGTGAGCTGGCATGTGATTACAAGAGCATTTGAACATGATCTGTCTCTGCCATTCAGGTTGTGCTGAGCGAGGATCTTCAAATATCCCTAATAAGTGTTAAAATGTTTAACTTCCTTAAACTTTCCTGCCCACTTCCAGACAATCTGAGTATATATCTGCTGGTCAACGTGATGTCTCTGAGCATGTCTGTGACCATCTCCAGTTTAACTTGTATCTGGTTGTTATTTGAAATATGAGACCTATTGACCTCTTCCTCCTTTGCAACTCCTAAAGATGTAGGACAATCAGCCCATCTAAGCTCAGACTGGCAGCAACTCTCATTCATTCGTTGGTCATTTATATACTATTTTTTGGCCCAAAGGCTTCCAAAGCAATGAACAGGTTGAAAACAAAAGGAAATACGATAAAACCACATTAAATAGGGGGGGTTGGACTTGATGGCCAGGGGGTTGGACTCGATGGCCCTTGTGGTCTCTTCCAACTCTATGATTCTATGAAATACAAAAGCAAAAGTGCAAAAAAAATCAGTAAAAACATGTGTATATATATATGTGTGTGTGTGTGATATTTATATTATATTATATTATATTATATTATATTATATTATATTAGCCTGGGTCTTTCCCAGTCCTACCTGAAGATGCCAGGGATTGAATTTGGGACCTTCTGCATGCAAATCAGATGCTCTTCCACTAAGCTAAGGTCCTTCCCCACAACAGCTTGTGCCATACAATTCAAACTTCACAGGAACTGAAAGTGGCCAGTTGAGGACAAGTGGAATGGAATTCAAGCCATTACTGGAATTCTAATTTGAGACGACTCTAGAGAAGAACTTAACAGTTCTTTGCTTGTCCTCTTGGGCCTGACGCTTGACAGGAAATGAGCTTGAAAGGTTCAGAGGCAGGTCACAGAGCTCCTATCCCTGCCAGCTGCTCAGATGACCCTAGCAGTGTGTTTTGAGAAACCTGATACACTTGCTTATTATTAAAGCCTTTTTTCCTTGGAGAAGTCACGTCTAACGCTGGGTTCTACCAGACACATGGCTAGCCTATTACATCCTCCCCCCCCCACATTCTTCTCAAATGACACTTGTTATATGACCTAAGACTAGAACAACGTGAAAAATCCCGTGTTGCAACGCAAGGCTGAATGTGCGAGGATCATCTTGTTTACAGGAATGCTCCCGCCTTGTTTGCCTTGCAGCATTTGTTGTGCCAATCCTTCAGACCACCTCCCCTGAGGAACCAACACCAGAGCTGGAAATTCCTGATGTCTGAGATCCTGAATTCTGGAAGGCACAATTAAGCAGGGAAATAGTGTCCAAGGCGGAGCTGATGAAATGTGGAAGGTACAAATTTGAGTGGACACAGTACTTTGTATTCCAGTTCACTATTTAAAAGTGTCCTCCATACTTATGCTCCGTTCTAAACAGGTGATTTTGCTGGCAGTGGTATTTCTTAGAAGCAGGAAACATATCAAATCAGATTGCCTTATGCAGATTCTTTTTTTCCTTTTGGCAAGGATGCCTAATAAATATTGCTGCTCACAGTACTTTCCCCCCCTAGAAAATAGGTGCTGGTACACACCAAAAAGTTGCTACAGTAGGTGCCACACTTTTTAGCAACAAAAAGAGGTGCCAGTACTGAGAACCCTTGAGTACCCCTGACAGGAAAGCACTGGTTGCACGCTACCCTAATATAAAGTGTGATGGGGTTCAGTTTCCTTGGAATGAGGGTCAGCGGACTGTGGTGGCTTTATGATGTATTGTTTATTTACAGATATATACAACCTGACCCTATGATGGAAGAGCTCACAGGATCAATGCCCCAATAAGGTTTTGCATCTCCCATAGCCACAGCCTTGGATTCAAGCAGACGTAAAGCATGCCTCTCACTCTCAATCTTCTGCCGGCTCCTAGCCCAGCTGTCTCACATAACTGCATTATCCTTCTAACTACCAGCCAGGTAAAGGACAGGGCACACCCATTTGCTCTCCGACACAGCTACTTCCTTTGTTACCCTAACGGCCCATACTTAGGGGCCATTAACTTATCAAGAAACTTGCCTGGCTCCTTCAACAATGCAATCTCAGAACACTATGTTCTTAAATTAAGGTTGTATGTGCACCAGCACGTGTCCCACTAGAACAAGGGGAATATTATAAGAGCAGCCCTGTATGATTAGGCCAAAGCTCCACCTAGTTCAGCATCCTGTTTCCAACAGTGGACAGCTCTGCCTTCAACAAGCACCCAAGTAAGAAGACATGAAAGTGACAGCCCTCCCCAATTGCTTCCTCCTCCCCAGATTGATATTCAGAGACATACTTGGTTTGGCCATCACCACTGATAGTCATAGCTCTCCTCCCCCTGAATTTGTTTGCATGCACAGGTAATATCTCTGCAATGTTCACCCACTGGATATGAGAATATTTCCGCCCCCCACAATGTGCAACTAGAGCTACAGAAGCAGCACAGAATCAGAGTGTATAGACAGTGCCAGAAACATGCCATGGATTTATTTTAACTACATATTTAAATATTATTTTGCTGATTTTATTTTTCTTTGTTAGATTTGTTCATTTTCCTACCCTTTCCAGTTTAGCCCTTGGCTTTTCATGAGGTGCCAAAGCATTGTACATGAAGATTAAGTTGCACATGTATGACTCTGTATTCATGTTGTTATTCTTTAATTTATTCCAACTCATGGCTGTCTTGTAGGGACCCCAGCTTACCTTGCAGATGCCTCCAGATCCCTCAAAGGCCCCAGCACATTATTCAGCATTCATATGACTCTTTTGCACACCTCTAGTGTTTTTCCTCTAAGGGTAAGAGTTGTGTTTGTTGATTTACACTTATATAATTATCAATTGCTGTTTGTGTGTTACTTCCAAAAAACCGAATAAGCTTTTAAAGAAAGAAATAATTTAAGCTTGTTGAAATGTTCATATGCTGAATTCAACCAAAGTGTAACTTCTTATTATTTTAACCAGCAAAGTGACCCTTATCTGCTCTTTTTTTGTCCCTGTAGAATACAGCAAATATGTCGTTTTATATAAACTACAGCAAATGGCTGGTAGAGACTGTTCACTGGTCATTAAAAAAAAGGAAGAAAAAGCAGAGGAACCATTGCCAGTTTGGCAGCGGGGAATGCAGAGATAGCCCCTGCAGGCATTATGCATTTCCCTGGTAGAAGAACCACCAGTGGCTCCCAAATTGTGAATCCACACACTAATTCTGTGACCTTCCCACCCAGTGATGAAAGCAGCAACAGTGACACTGACTCACAGTAGTTGTGTGATAGTTGTGTGATTAAGCCACAGCCTGTGGAGAAGAGGGCCAGAGTCATATGCTTTTATAGTGAGCTATGGTGTGTGTTCCTGATGCAAATACATTAGATGCTCCAGTTCAGATTTTACTAATGATAGGGCATAGCTTTCATAGTTCTGGGGGATTTTCTTCTTCAGGTTAACATGGGGTGGAGGGTATTTCTAGACTAGGGAGAGAACCACAGACCTTGATGCTGAATATGGCCCCTCTATCTGGCTCGTGGGACCCGGTGCACCAGTCCTGCTTTGCACTTTCCTTGAGTGTTTTTGCCTGTCTGGCATGTGTTCTTGAACAGTGATGATGTCTCTTACTTGCTTGGATGTAGATATCTGCCTGTGTGTGCTTGTACACACATTGCACACATGTGTACACACATTAATCTCCAAATTTTATATGGGCGGAATAAGGCCTACTGTACAAAGGTAAGAGTCACATCCATTGTCCCACTCATTTTTTCCTCTAGCCCCAACCACTACTGGCACACAGCCCAGAAGGTACCCCCATGAGGTACCATAAGCTTCCGCCCCTGTTCTAGAACAAAGATCCAAAAAATCCTAAAGAATGATATGAACTAATGCCAGTGTACTGGAAGAAGCAAAGATCACCAGTGTCCAAGCAATGATTCTTCAACATCAACTTCATGGGACTGGTCATGTTGTGCAGATGGCTGATTATCATCTTCCAAAGCAACTACTCTATTTCGAACTTAAAAATGGAAAGTGTAATGCTGGTGGTCAACAAAAGAGATTTAAAGACTATCTCAAGGCAAATCTTTTTAAAATGTAATATAAACACCAACAATTGGAAAACACTGGCATGCGAGCTCTCCAATTGGAGAACAGCCTGTACCAAAGGTGGTCATGGACTTTGAAGATGCTCAAATTCAGGACGAAAGGGAGAAACGTGCTAAGAAGAAGGCACGTTTGGTAAACCCTCAGCGTGATCAACTCCCACCCGAAAACCTACATCCCCACTGTGGAAGGACGTGTGGATCCAGAACTGGCCTCCACAGTCACTTATAGACTCACTGTTAAAACCGTGTTCCTGGAAGACAATCTTACTCAGCTACGAGTGATCGTCAAAGAAGAAGAAGAGGATTATTAGAAGTTTTAACATTAAACAGACATCTCTTAATAACAATAAAAAGCCAGAGAAATGTTGATTTGGGAGAGTCTCTAAAATTCCCTCACAGATGTTCTTCAAATCCTGGTCTCTCAGCCTCTACAGGCACACAACTAAGGGAATATAAAACACTGTGCTTCAGGATTTCAAGCCAGTATTAAACTATTCTTAAAATCCTTATTTGGAGTCTTGTTTGCCAAATCTAACACCTCATGGCGGTTGCATTCCTCTGCAGCTGACCCAGGCACTGAAACCTGTGGAATTTTGTCAGAGGCTTGGAGTAAATGACGATGCATCTTTGCCATGGCACTGCCACAAATATATGTCTATTAAAAAAATTTACTGAGATTAGCATAGGGTAGACGTAAGAGTCCTTTCAGGCAGGGGTTTATTGTGGAATTGTTGCTCCTCATGCCCACAAGTTTCTTCTTGTTGTTGTTTTTGCAGTGTCCACATGACATCATCATCAAAATACTGGCCCCTTACTGCTGCAAAAATATGGTAAGTAAAAATAACTCTTTACACAAATCTGCAACCACTGCTGGTGTGGAAACACATTTGCACAAGAGAATAGCAAGGAATATAATGACTGGGAAAAATGAGATGTGTAGAAATGTGCATACAGAAAAACTGCATCTGAATGAGCCAATTGTGATGGAAGGTTTCCATCTGGAAGCTCCCTTAGTATAGGCAGAAGTCTGAAGAGTGACTTCATGGGGAAAGTGCTCACTTTGTAAGGTCAATATATCAAGCTGGGAAATATCCCAGGGAAAGATCCATGAAAGCGTAAGTATTGATGTGGAGAGCTACATCTTAACTAAATGTAGCAACCACTGGACACCCATCTATTTTCATCTTTCATTATATGAGTCCATTCCACAGCCCCTGCAGAAGAGATTCTGTTGGATAAAGCATAATACCATAGCCAGTGAGGTGGTGTTAACAGAAGCCAAAATTGTCATTCATTGTATCAATAATTTTAGTTCTCTTGCACAGTCTTGTGGAGAGAGAGAGAGAGAGAGAGAGAGAGAGAGAGAGAGAGAGCGAGCGCACATTTTGCATGGGGATTCTGATTCTAGCCGCCACGCACGTTGGTGGAACATGCATAAGCCTATTACACCCTCATTCTGCCCTCTTCTGGGTCCTAAAGGCCCCGCGCATCAGCAGTCACACATCAATTGGATGTGCACAAAATGGTCACCATTTGTATATATGGTGGTCAGCAAAGATGGAAATAGTTATGAGCACAGCCAGAAAAAAAATGAAAGTATTGAGGAAGCGGGCATGGAAAGGGAGTATCATAAAGGGGCAAATGATCTGCCCACCCAAAAGCCCACTGAAACAAGTCATCTATGACCCCGAGCAGTTTGGAACCTGACCTACCCCCAGTTTATTGGATTATCCCCATATCAGATAAACCCAAATTTACAAAGCGAAAAACACTGAGATTGTGTTGTTGGAGTTAACTCCATGCAGACTAAACAAATAAACTGGGGATGCAGACAACTGCAAACACCATAAAATCCCATGTAGACAAGCCCATGGTTAGGTGAGCCTCAATTTCTCTTGGGTTCTCTGCAAAGGCACGTGGCTCTCCATTTCATTAATTAAATGGTTAATCAGAATCACCAGCTTCTTGACCAGTGACACCCCACCCTGGGTTAGCCAGCCTCTTATTTTGAAGGTTGGGCTGTCCTGCAATGCTACTTGAACTAGTCTCTCATAATCACAAGTAGCATTCTGCATCTGGTGCAATCCACCCTAGAAAGGGCACTTTTCAGGTCAGGAAAAGAATGGAGCACAGAAGGTGGGTCTGGCTTTGTGGTAGAATCAGCTCCACAGGGAAGCTGCCCTTTTTTAAAGTCACATTTGAATAGAAGAACGATATGTAGCAAGGAAACAGGACCTGGAATAAATAAGCACAAAGCACATTTCCTAGAAAAATGTGTTTAAGTACAGGTTGTAATCTTACGTGTGGTCTGACCTTTAAAGTTAGAGCACCCATGGTGGATGAAGAAAATAATCTAACTGACCAAGGAAGAGTACAATAATTGCACAATAAATTACCTATATGTTAGGAAGGATTCTTCCTAAGAGGACAAGCTGCCCCAATCCCACAAGGAATGAAAAAAGCTTAGGTTATGTTGTTTCTTCTTGCCAAAGCAACAAAAGGAGCTAAACAAAAATGCAAACTATTTTAATTGATCCCGCCTGGCTCCCTGGAGGATGATGTGTTCCTCGGCTTGCAGACAACAGAACCAAGGAAGTTGTCCCATATTCATCTGCCGATTGTCTACTCAGAAACGTGGAATGCACTGAGCACTAGCAAAAATGAGATCAGAGATTGGCTTGGAAGCATCTGAAGACAAATGCCTGCAAACTGGAGTCTCATACAGTAGTGCAGAGGCCAGGGAATCTCATTTTACTGTGGATTAGCTCTTTAAATCAATTGCTTTTCTTTTTCTTTATGAAGTGTTAGCTATGTGTATGTCATTGTGCACGCATTAGAAAAACCAGAAGAAAACTAATGCACGTGAGGGCTCCCAAGATGATGGAAGGAGGCCAAAGGAACAGGAATGAAGAAAATAACAAATCAATTATTATTTCCAAGTATTTGAACATGCTCAAAGATTAATACTTTTACAGCAAGTTAGAGCAGCTGTAATGGACATTATAGAACGGGCTGCACAACCAGTGATCCAAGCATGGATTGCGAGGTGTTTAGCAACCCCCACTTCCATGTTTGCAGTCCTAGGCAGGCAGCAAAAAGCAGAAAGTTTATCACGCCCCTTGTATGCCACAACCTATGCAAGTCTATTCTATAGAGCAGGGATGGCTTTCCAGATGTTGTTGAATTCCAGCTTCCATCATCCCTGACTATTAGCCATGCTGGCTGGAGCTAATGGGAGTTGGAGTGCAATCACTTTTAATTATTTATATAGTTAAATACAATAATCAAGTACTAGGCTGTTAAAAATACTAGTGCTTAACAGAAAGATGTAGTTCAATAAAACTGTATACCGTTATAATTAATAATTACCCTCCTATCCTATACAATCTACTGCTAGTATGCCCTGCTATCCTATACAATGGAAGATGCACTCTTCCATTGTCTCCTGAGACAGACGGGTGCCAATCATGGTAACTTTTCCTATACATATTCCAATAGTTAAATAGCCTCACTCTGTCTAATAGTAGGACCAATGCTGCCAACAAAGTCCAGCCTTTATTTGCTGAAAATGATCTAACTGGGAATTAGCATCCTCAAACATTTTGCAAACCTGTAATAAGGGATTGGTCCCTACTGAAGACTGGAAAGCCAAACTCAAGCAAAGCTTGAAACACAGAGGAAGTGAGAAAGGAAGCTTGTGGGTATTTGTTTCTTCTCCCTCTCCCTCCACCCCACTAAAGCCAAGAAATAAAGAGAACTAGCTTTAGCCAGGTTGTGTTACTGAGGGCTCACCCAGACTTCTTTTCATGCCACATCTCTAAGCACAGGTCTGCGGAAAACCCTAATTGCCGTTTGTTCCATTTCAGTGTTAAGGAGCAGGTTTTCACATGGGAAATGCCAGGAAGGAGCTCTCAGACATGGCACTTTAAAGTGCAGGTCTGTGCCTAGAAAGTGGGGCAAAAGGTACATGTGGATGAGCCCTGGATCACCACACGCCCTACACACACACACACACACACACACACAGAGAGAGAGAGAGAGAGAGAGAGAGAGAGAGAGAGAGATTATAGTGCCTCTGAGGGTACAAAAAGTGCTTTCTCCTAATCAGGGTGTTCACACCCCCTATTCCTTGAGTCCTGAGGAGTCAATTCATAGTAACCAGCAAAGTTAAGATGGTAATTCCCTACCTCAGATGCTTCAGAGATTATTGGAATGGCATCTTGTTCCTCATGTTGCTGCTTGAGGCCAATGAGCAATATAAAAGCCAGACAGGATTTCTGTGAAACTTAACTGCAAAATGTGGACTCTGTCCAATCAGCAGACACACTGTCTTCTGCAGGAGTAGATAACAGGAGTACTCACTCTTTTCTGCTGGGTCTTCCTTCCCCAAGAGCAGGTAATAGGAGCAATATAATCACATGAAGAGCAGAATAACTCACTGTCCACCAGCAGTAGATGGGAATGATTCCTTACATCCTGCTAGGGACTGACTGATGCTTAACCATGGCTGATAAGTGCTCTTTTCATGCCCGCATATGTGATCACTGTACATAGCATGGCTGATGGCCAGGGAGTGAACATCACTGGGTCCCATTGTACATGCATGCATTGGAAAATGTCTCCAATTTATGGGATGTTCATGCACTTGCTGAAAGTGCATTTTCCTACTCTCTTCTTTGGGCGAGGAACTGCTTTCTTCCCAGGTGTGCAGCTTGATGCTCACTGAATAAGGGACCAGAAGTAGCATTTCTGAACATGAATAGCCTGCATTGTGGAGAAAACAGCTACACATGCAACATGGCTCTAAATGTGTTCATTTAGAAGCATATTCAGGATTTAAGCCTGTGGATTGAGTAGACCAAGACATTTTGTCTGTACAGCAGCTGGCACATTGGTGTGTTAAATAAATATTAAGTAGTTATAACTGTGTTCCCTTCATCTGCTTGGAATCCAGAATATTTCTTTTCTATGGCTCTAGAACTGGGGGAGATGTTGCTTTCTGCATTCATTTCACACATGGAAGTTTTTTGTTCTCCAGCCTGAGCCTTGTTTTAAGCAGTTAATCATAATCATTTTTTCCTGTTTTGTTTGTTTAGCTACAGGATGTTTAAGATTCCTCTCTTCTTTTGCCCTTTCTGCAGCTGCTCTTATTGTTTTGCCTGTGTCTCCGCTGTCTTGCGATAGCTTTCTAGGCATTTCACAACAGGATGAAGATCAACCCCCCCCAAATAAAGATTTTTGTTGTTTAGTTGTTTAGTCATGTCCAACTCTTTGTGACCCCATGGACCAGAGCACGCCAGGCACTCCTGTCTTCCACTGCCTCCCACAGCTTGGTCAGACTCACATTGGTAGCTTCGAGAACACTGTCCAACCATCTCGTCCTCTTGTCGTCCCCTTCTCCTTGTGCCCTCAATCTTTCCCAACATCAGGGTCTTTTCCAGGGAGTCTTCTCTTCTCATGAGGTGGCCAAAATATTGGAGTCTCAGCTTCAGGATCTGTCCTTCCAGTGAGCACTCAGGGCTGATTTCCTTAAGAATGGATAGGTTTGATCTTCTTGCAGTCCATAGGACTCTCAAGAGTCTTCTCCAACACCATAATTCAAAAGCATCAATTCTTCGGCGATCAGCCTTCTTTATGGTCCAGCTTTCACTTCCATACATCACTACTGGGAAAACCATAGCTTTAACTATGCGGACCTTTGTTGCCAAGGTGATGTCTCTGCTTTTTAAGATGCTGTCTAGGTTTGTCATTGCTTTTCTCCCAAGAAGCAGGTGAAAATAAAGATTAGAAAATGGCAAAACAATGAGGGAGGAATCACAATAAACTAGATTCATTTCTGAGATTGGAAGTCCTCTCTTGACTCTTCTTTTTTTTTTTAATTGGGTTTTATAAACAAGAATAATGTTATACAAACAAGTTTACCAAGTTTTCTCATGTCATTTGTATGTCAGAAAGACAGCATAATAAATGTGGAAAAATATCTACATCATATGTTTTATTATTAGTGGCCAGTGTATAAGCTCTTGGTTTATGGTCCAGCAGCTCTATAAGGCTACCTATCAAAGTGTTAAGCTGAACCATTTCCTTGAGAAATAACTAAGCACAAAACTGGACGTTCAGCAAAGACCCAGATTCAGGAACTCAGATTGCTACAAACAGTCTAAAGAAATAGAAGGGGAGGACATACTTGGGGGGGGGGGAGCAGAAAGTGTGTCTGGCTCTGTTTCCCCCACCTTTGCTTTACAGGATATGTTTCAGATGTCACAGACAGATCAGTTTCAGGCAATTGACGAATAACCAGTCATCTCTCAACCAAATGTGGTCTGGACCAACTAACCAATTGGCCTTTCCTGGAATGAAAAAACAACAATGCTCTCTCTTTTTTTGCCAGGGTCAGGAGAGAGATGCAGACCTTTGGCAGCATAAAAAAATGTACCCTGCTCTGCCTCCTTCTATACATGTTTTTTTCCACCTGATAGCAGATAGTAAAATGGTACTGAAGCCTTTTTGTGTTGAAGCTGTGCAAACACATACACATGTGCTACAAAAAACAAACAAATGAGCACAGCAACCAGAGTGCCATCAGAAAACAGCATGGAGGATGAATTTGAAACAAGCATAGCAAATCTTCTTTGTCTTATATTTTAGATTGTTCCAGTGCTATTTTTCTAACACCTCCCTTTTTCTCTTATAATGGCAATGGTGCCCACCTGAGAAGTGCCAGAAATGAGTTCCGGCGAGTCCCTGCTGGAAAAAAGCCCTGGATTAATTCATGAAACAAGTAAATGTAATTATGCATCGGTAAGAGACCATGTAAAAGGTCCTTTCTGACCAAAAGGTGGCAGTGTTGCTCTCCCCTCTAACTCTAGGCAAGGGAGAATGTCAAAATGTCACTATCTAGTTATATAAATATACTTTTCAGACCTACAATAAGGGTATTATGACTTTTTCATGCAATCAGCATTATACTTTTTTAAATCTGAGCATGATTTGAATTCAAAAGTGGCAGTAGGAAAATATGCTAGTCAACACATACAAGCCACTATGCAATTTATCATTTACTGTCTGCTGCTATTTGCCTACTCCCCTAAAACCGGCTTTTGGGGGGGTGGTATTTATGTATTTATGGAATTTGTTGTGTGGCACTCTGCAAGAGAATAGCTTACTGAAGAATGATTCAGTTGAAACAATATTTTCTCTAATTAGGAAGTAAGAACATGTTGGCTTTTGCAGTAATTACTGTGCATTCTTTATCAATTATTCCTTGGAAAATCAGATTGCGACCACTGTACCCTGAAACAATATTTGCAAAGTAGGATGAATCAGGGTGTTGAATCATGAGCTAAAACATCTCTTGTATGATCTAAAACATCTCTTGGATAAATCACAAGACTTGCTCAAGGTGCCAAAAACAACAGAAATGACATCATGACATTTACAAAAAATGAGAAAGCCCTGATTTCCAAACACCTAACCCTATGCAAACTTTCTAAAGTTAGCAAGGCAAAGTTCAACAGAGAAGCAGGGCTCATTTCACCCCCTCCCCCCGTCAAATGCTGAAGGTTACAGTTTCACACAATCCCAAACCAGCTTTGGCCTTTCCTTCTAATCCAGAATTATCTCCACCTAGAATGTTTCCCCTTTCATTTGTATAGTCTTGGTTGCCTCCCTTTAAGCCTTAGTTTCCTGTTTATTAGCTGCCTACCATGCAAAAGCAGCAGAGAATCTGGAAGCAGCAATCCCTGTGCTCACTTAGTGCCATGTGAATGGATGCTTTGAATATATCCACATGGCTTTTCAAGACATGTCTGTGTGTTATGCCAACATGCACCAGCCTCTGAAATAGTGCATATGATATGCCATATGATGGCTGAGCACACACAGGGTCCTCCTATGCCACTCTGCCCCTGAGCTCCCCCACAACCCCCCATGCAGGTTCTCATAGCTGAGCCAAGATAAGCCGCTTGACTTTTCAAAGATGGCTGACCTCTCATCAACACAACACATCAGCCATCTTCATCCCTCGGCATAGGAATGATTTTTACTACATCACCTTATCTGGAAAAGTTTTGCATTACTTGCGTCTCTGCTGGCTCCCCCCCCCCCCCAAAAAAAACTGTACTGCTTCTGGGCTCTTCCTAGAAGTTTGAGAGCTTTTCTATACATACGTTATGCAGAAAGAAAGGGTACAATTCCCAGCTCCATCACCATACTGCAGGTAAGGAGGTCATGTTTTCTACAATAAACAAGGGAGTGGTTTGTTGCAGAACTTTCAATCATGTGCTATATGGAAGAAGTGTGTGTGATTGTTTGAACGTGTTTGCAAGGGTGAAAATTAGAAAACGTGTCATCCACCTTCAGCCTGACGTTGTACTGGCCATATTTGTACCTCCTTCTTCCGTGTAATGTGTAGTAGACCAGATGTGTGGCTCTCTTAGGTGCCAGAGGTTCTTTCCGTTTGTAGACTCTGTGCTTGTTGCTTAATTCATAGCACGTTTTAGCCACCGCTGACACCATGTCACTTTAAATAGTCTGGCTTTTTTAGATGTTTTATGCCTCTGCCTCTATAAACATGATTGTTTTCTCCTGATGAAATCAAGTGCTTCTCAGACAGGAAGTCTTCCCATTCCACTATGGGTTCATTGTGACCTCTCTTTGCAGCCTATTTTCCAAGTCATCAAAACAACTTTAAAAGATGCATGTGAAACAAGTTTCTTTTAAACTTTTCCCAAAGCACAGTTCTCTGTAAAATCCGCATGTGGGTATCCTGACAGTTGGTGACTGTGGTGGGCTGATGCACACAACCAGTTCGCCCAATAGAAAAGAATGCTGACCTTTCCCCCCCCCCCAAAAAAATAGTCAAAATGTAATGTTATTAATTGGCCTTAAATCTAGCTATATATACACTCTGAACGAGGTACGGTAATACCCCTGCTGAATCATTATTGTATTTATGAGGATGAGGAACCGAACCCTTGGCTTAGCTCCTTTGTGTGCCAAGGCAGAATTTTTATATACAAGGCCAGTAGTAATAAATACGTTATTATTTTTCAAAAAAGAAACTCTGTAATAATACAGCTGTTTTGCCAAGGTGATCACAATGATGATGTTTGTGACACGGCCAATGTGTTTAGTAGCTGGAGTTTATATAGGGAAGGAGGAGTCACCTATCATCACATCATTTATCAGGCTGTTTATTGCCTTGGGTGACACATGTGCTTGTTTAGTTAGCGCTGGTGTGCAGCCTAGATTATTTCTTTGGCTCTGGCTCTAGAGCAGAAAAAGCAAAATGTCTCAATTTTCAAAATAACCATATGGAGTAACTAAGGCCCAGGTGTATGTGTTTACACACACCCATACATGTATGTGTGTATTTTAAGTCCTATTTCCCTTGTTTTATTGCTTTTCTTTATCTTTCTAATGTTCATAGGTGTTTACTACAGCAATGTACAGAGAGATGCACAGTTGCTTTTTTGATTGATTAGCTCTATCTCGTTTCTTGTTGGTTGAATCCATTGGTTCATTGTTTTTTTTGCTAAGGAACAGCAAAAAACAATCTTGCCCCATCTTCCATGGGAAAGCCCTTAAGATATTTTAAAATGGCTATCATTTCACCTCTCAGTCTTCTCCAGACTAAACAGACCCAACTCCCTTAACCAGGAGCAACACATTTCCCCAGAACTGTCATATGGTTTTGTATGAAGGTAATAAATGCCACTTAAGAGTGCTGCTGTTTGAGTAATGGGCAATAAGAAATCTCTTCCACATTCATTTGCATAGGAAATAAAAGGATGCTATACCGTGTCAAACTTGTCTCTTCTGGAAGTTCCTTGTATAACTCTTCTATGATAGCTAAGTCTTTCTGCTAAGGCCACATCCCACACAGCATTAAACCAGAGCCATGGGTCTTTCTGATTGATTTTTCCATTGCTGGGCTATCACCAGGCATGCTGCAGTCAGGAAAAAAAACAACCATTAATACTTTAAAATCCTTAAGACAACTTGAGGTAAAGTCCAGTGTGAGGAGTGTTAATGCTAGATTAGGCTGCAGGGGTTGTTTAGTGGTAATAGAAATAGCCGTGAAAACATTGATCCAAAATTTTTGTACAATAATACATTCCAACTATACATGCATATCACATCCAGTCTTCCCACAGCTTTTTCAACACAGAACTTTAGCTAGTCTTATTGATGTCCAATAGCACTGAAAAAAATTGAATCAACGA